TCATTATTGTGAGCCAATTTCTTTCTTTCTTTCTTTCTTTCTTTCTTTCTTTCTTTCTTTCTTTCTTTCTTTCTTTCTTTCTTACTTTTTTTTTTTTTTTGTGGAACTGGAGATCGAACTCAGGCCCTTGTGCTTGCCAGGGAAGCACTTATTCTACTGAGCCATCTCCCAGGTCCTGGGTCTGTTTTGAACTTTAGATAAGTATTATGGTTTGTATGTAGATGTAGTCATGGGCAGGCTTTAGAGCTTGTAATTAATTCATGATCCAATGCTGGGATTATGGATGAATGCTACACTTGCCCTGGGGCTGATAGAATGCAATATAAGAAAGGGAGAGAGGCTTACTCTCTGCCACTGTGTGCCTTTTTTGCTCTTGTAGTTTTCCACCACCATGAACTGCTTCCTTTTGCCATGTGGCACTCTGCCTTGGAGCCAGCTGAGTATGGACTGAAACCTCCACAAACTATGAGCTAAATAAACCTTTCCTAGGGGCTGGGGAGATGGCTCAGTGGAATAAGCACTTCCCTGGCACGCACAAGGGCCTGAGTTCAATCCCCGGTTCAAAAAAAAAACCCTTTCCTTCCTTAAAATTTGAGTGTTAGTTATTTTGTCCCTGCACCAAGAGAAACGTAACTGAGACAATATGCTTCTCCACTTGCTCACATCAATCTCCTTAAAACCCAATATATAAATTATACCAGGATGCATCTACCTACCACAGACAGGTGGTACTTCAATTTCTCAAAAGATTAACATGTAAAAACTTCTAACTACTTACATGCAGTTTCTTTCCATAATATGGAAAATACTTTAAGTCTATGAGTCCATGATTAGGATAAGTTGATAGAATTGGTGGATATTCATCCTAAAATTGAAAGCAAAAGAGACCTTTCAGGATATAGCAAAGAATTTAAAAATGTGTGTTTACGGTGAAAGTAGTAGGAATCATTAACAGTATGGAGAAATTACAATGCATTTCCAACTATATTTCATACTTCTAAGAACAGTTACTTATTTTGATTATATTACATAATTACCTAAGTATTAAATAAATACATACACAAATTACATTTCCCAATGTACACCTTGAGTCCCTGCTGCCCCAAATGTCATTCCTCATTGATGGCCAGAATGTACTCACAAGTATTTTCTGGAGTGAATAAAAACTGTGCTTCCAGATGGGAAAGCAACAGCTGCTACAAGGTGCCAATCTAGAAAGCAGATTCAGGCTGGAGGCACAAGGTCCAAAATTAATAACCACAAGAGCTGTAACCAGAGGTGAGATCAGGATGCATCTGACAGGAGAAGCTGCTGTTCATTCCTGAACACTTGAACATCTGATGTGCACAGACTAATTTCTACGTGTGTACGCGCGCGCGTGTGTGTGTGGTGTGCTAGGGCTCAACTCCAGTTTCCTGCACTTAAGCACACACTCTAATACTGAGCTGTATCTGCAACCTATAACACCCTTTTCTGAAAACACACATGACACTGCACAGCAACACAGCATGTCTGGGGAGCAAAGTCCTCCTTTCTGCTGTCACATCATGATCATAGAGCTCCATGTGCGCAGGGCAGGACCCAGGGATCCCACAGGCAGAGCGCATAAAGCATGGTGATGGCCTCACCCCCCACAAAGATCTAAACACATGTGGAGAAGAGGACACAGGGCTAGAGAAACTCTGCAGGTCATGTAAAAGTCACTGTTTCAATGTCAAAGGCCTCCATTTGTCCTCTTTAGTGCTTGATGATCAGGGGCAGAGTGAGAGCTTGAGGCCCTGATGCCATCCCAGCATCAAAAACAGAAAGAAGTTTTTACCTTGCAAGAAAAAAACACGCATTGCCATTTTTCTGCATTAATGGCTTTTTTTGGGCCCTATTTTACCTTAACATATGAGCTTTATTTACAGAAGCAGATATTCCCCAAGACGGAAAAAGGGTCTTCTTTGAGTAACAGTTTACTGAGCACTCCCTGGCAGTCTCCTTCCAGAGACAACTTACATCGACCTCGTTCAGCCCTCACCACCCTGAAGTGAGCAGATCACCTAGAGAGAAGTGGGGCTCAGAGCTGTAGCTCTGCTGCCCGTCCCCCAGGGTGGAAACTCCACCACTCTGCCAACCAACTGTATCCACCCATTTGTTTTTGTCTTTTTGAGACAGGGTCTCACTATGCGGTTTGGGCTGGCCTTGAGCTCAGTTTGTAGTCCAGACTGGACTCAACTTTGCAATGATGCTCCCTACCTCAGCCCCAAGTGCTGGGATTACAGGCGTGCACTACCACAGCCAGCCCTTAAACTTGTTTTATACTTACACTGAAAATACACACTGAAAAATAATGAAATATTGGAACGAGTCTCTAATGATACTTTGGGGGAGCACACATATCTTAATCCATACAAATGCCACCACAGCAAAACTACAGGCAACTCTATGAATAATGGCCACTAAGCTCCACTAAAAACAAAAATGCAGTTTTAAAATTAATTTATTTCCTCATAAATCATCACATGCAAAAGACTCAGAAGCATACATGACAAATGTTCCAGGCAATGGTTATCACTGGGTAGTATTTAGGCTTTTTTTTCTTTTCTCTATTTTTCAGTTTTTCAGAACTGTTTCTGAAAGTGACATGCCACCTCTGGTCATCAGCGTCTGTGTTTTCAGGACTCATCTCCCAGTCAGGACACTCAGTCCAATGTGCATGTCACTTTCAGAAACAATTCTGGAGTCCTCTTCTAAGTCTCTACTTGTGCTCATGTGCCTGGTATCCTGAAGTGACTAAAAACATTCACCCTTCTCCACCATTTTAACCTTGGGCAAGAGCCAGGCCATAGTGGGAGATGCAGTGAGCAGGGCAGACTGCTAGGAGCCTGCTCTGCACAGATGGCCCCTGCAGCAGTGTGGGCCACATTTCTGGCTAGACTTTGTATGACATGAAAAAGGAGTTCCAGAACTACACAAAGTGGTGTGTCTCTTACTGTATTTTTTGTTATTTTTTGGTACCAGACAGCTGGGTCTTATGCTTGGCCAGGTAGGTGCTATTGCCAGTGAGCTACATCCCCAGCCCTGTAATACATTTCTTTTTTCTTTTTTCGGAACCGGGGATTGAACTCAGGCCCTTGTGCTTGCCAGGGAAGCACTTATTCTACTGAGCCATCTCCCCGGCCCTGTAATACATTTCTTAATTGACAGTTCATTTTACTGCCCTATCTTCTCCATCTTGACTTTTCCAATTTCGGCCTTTTAAAATTCAAATTTCTTGCACAAACTAACTCTCCTAAGGCTGGTCACACATGTATATTTAGATCTAAAAGAGATGCTACACACTGCCTGGCTTTTTAATTCTATTTTAATCAGTGAATACTTTAACATAGTGGTCCACACTGTAATCCCAGTATTCTGGGAGGCTCAGACAGGAAAAGGTTACAAATTTAAGCCTAGCACACAGGCAACTTAGCAAGACCCCACCTCAAATTAAAAATGGGGATGGGAAGGATAGGTGAAGGCGTGGTTCAGTACAAAAGAAGGCCATGCAGGAGTTCTTGAAGTGTGAGCCGCAGGGTAGCTGTACCATGCACACCTGGGCATTCAGTGCAAATGCAGATAAAGGGCCCAGCCCAAGCTACTGAGTCAGAAGCTGTGGGAATCAGACCCAACCGACCCAAGAGGTGCAGATGCATGATCATGTTTACAAACTAATATACAATTTCTGCCTAAATGTGAAATGCATCTTTGTTGAATCAGGTTTCTTTCCAGGTCACCTCTAACTGATTTTAACACAACAATTTGAGTAAAATTCCTCAGCCACACAGTTGGAGCTAAATATAAGTAACATAAAGATTAAATTCAAAACTTAAATTTATCCTCAGAGCTCTTACCCATTTTTATATATATGTCTTAGTTGCATTTGCAGCATGGAGAGAAAAACAAAAGAAGTTAAGAGATGAAGACTGCATAGCACTCTGGAACACAAGCAGGGGTAAGAACAGGAGGCTTCTGCCTTAAGAAAAATGCACCCTATTTCATCAACTTGCAGATGGCACCAATTAGCACACTAATTTATAAACTATTAATAAGGAAAAAGTCTTTATACAGCATCAAGAGACCTGCCAGTCATCCCAATTTCAGAGCTGCTAAACTGGAAGAATAAACATTATAATCCCTGAAATACAGTCTACGTGGACCTAAGGCAATAAATGCAGAATCAAACAGACATAGCAAATGTCTTTTTAGTGCTTGTTAGGAAAGTGAAGCGATAGTCCCAAAATGGTTGGTGGAATTTTATTCTGCAAATAACCTTATAAGATACAGTACCTGAAAAATTAGGGAAGAAAAAAAATGACTGGAGTTAACAGTCTCTTAAGGCATTCTAAGAATTACCAAAGCATTCACAGAAGTTATTACTCACCTTTGAAATACAGTCTATCTTTGGTGATCCTTCAGGCTTTAATCCAATGATCTAAGGTTAAGAAGCAGTAATTAATTTAAACATCACAGACAGGCACATCTGTTGTTAGCTAACAGTAGCAGAGGGACTGAGATGAACATTACTCTGTGGATTAAACCCAGTTATATCTGTCTTTTGCTTTTTCTTTTAGGACATTACAATGAGCTTTATAATACAGAACTTTTACAATTAGCTATTTTATTATTGTACTGAAGCAACTGAGAAAATAAAGAACCTAAACATAGTTGTATACTTTCGTTACCCTTTAAGCAACAAACGGAAAGCCTTAAATCTAATTTATAAGACTATTTATGAACTGGGAACTGAACTCAGGACCACCCACTTACCAGGCAGGTGCTGCGTCCTGAGCTATCTTAGACAACTTACTGTATGTAGTAAGAACTACAGATGACATAGCTCAGTGAACTAAGCACTTGCTTAGGTAAGTGCAGGGACCAGAATTCGATCCCCAGCACCACATGCCAAGCTAGCCCTACACTGACTGGGCACTGTGGCACACACTTGTAATCCCAGTACTAGGGAGGCTGAAAATAGGTGGGACACTATGAGACCAAGCTGCGTAGTGAGACCCTGTATCAAATACATAAAAAAGAACTAAAGAAACAATATGATGGGCAAGGGAGATAGCTCAGTAGAACAAGCACTTGCCTGGCAAGCACAGGGTTCTGAGTTCAATCCTCGTACCGCAAAACAAACAAACAATTAGGACAAACTATGTCATAATGTCATATGCTTGTTTTAAGGTCTTGTTCGATAGTCCACGTTGGCCTTGAGTTCACTCTATAACCCAGGCTAACCTCAAACTTGCAGTGATCCTTGTGCCTAACCTCCCAAGTATTAAGATTACAGGCACGCGCCACAATGCGCGGCTGACAAACTACTCTTCAGGGCAATGTATCAAGTCACAATTGCCACCATGACTCCATTAGGCTCTCAGAGCTTTACCATGTTTCACAGCTATCTGTCCCACAAATATACACAGTGGGACTCATCCTACTTTAATGCTCTGATGGCAGTTTGATTCTGTGCCATAAAGGCTACCTTCCTACATGCAGTTACTATCACTCTGTAGCAGGTACAGCGGTAGCTCAGTTCACAAACACGATTCTGGTCATAAACTGAACTGGACGAGAACTGAATCAAATCATAAGGTCAACATTGGGCGTAACTGCTGAATTTGGCTTGGTTCTCATCCAATTTGGTTTGTGACCAGAATTGTGGAGAAAATCAAGTTTGTAACCCAAGCTGTATTCAATCATTCATTTTGCAAGAGGACTTTTTGGCATTCTGAATTTATATGCGATTTACTTGTGAAAGGGAAACTTGTTTTTAGCAGTGCCAACTTCACAAGACCATGCAGTCCTTTCACAAGGGATGAGTGATTTACTTGTCAGTGATATACGATGTATTTGTACATACTTCAAGGATACAGAAATTCAACCTTGAGAGGTTTACAACCTGTTTAAGAAACTTTTCTTAGTTGATAAGCAAAATGGCCTCATTTAAGGGAGATAGCCTCAAAACCATGACAGAATACAACTGTGCAGCACAATATCAAGCAGCAGCAAGGCCTCCCCTTTGTGCCTCCTCTGCCAAGTGGCTCACACTCACTGGAACTGTCTGGAGAGACCATCAGCTTCTTCCTTTGCTAGCGGTTCCACACCTCAGACACCACTTCTATAAAATGGCAAAATGCTACTACACTGGCTACAACTGCAGGACCCTCTTGAGCTCATTGGAATGTGATTTTATTTGAATGGCCACAATTTAATATACTTTTAAGTAAGCAATCCACTAATGAGTTAACATCTAATAAGGACATTAACAGCCAAAATGATAAAAAATAATTACCAATTTCTGAGCAGAGGTATTAGAAACAAGGAGCAGAAGTACAACATATACGTACTCTATTCATTTTTACAAGAATACAAGGTTGTCCTTGGGAATAGCCAAAATTAGGATCATTTATACCGCTGCACACTTCAAGTAAGGAATCAGGAAACTGACATGCAACATAAACTGGACCCTTCTGTTCAAAAAGCACTCCATCAGTACAGTTGGCGAGATTCTTCTGTTCTTCTAAAGAGTATGCTAGAAAAGAAATACACAGTGCAATTATAAAAGTGAGTATTTTCAATTGTAAAAAAAAAAAAAAAAAAAATTTGCTACAGTGAAGAACACAATGCCATTAATCTCTCTCAAAACCCTAACCCAATTTCAAACCCAGACCCTACTGTTCTTGCTACTTTTGGAAACAGATCTGGAGTGTCTCTAGTTGCACTGTCGTGGCCGCCTCAGTGCCTTGAGCTGACTAAAACTATTTGGGAAAGAGTCAAAAGTTGCATGATGCCAATCCAATAAATAAGGTAGATGAGGACACAATGTGTGTGTGTTTTTTCCCCCAGAAAATGCTGCACACATTTGATTAATAAAAGATGATCCAAACATACAGTGAATATTAAGCAAAACTGTTATAGTGCAAGACTCACTGCTAACACGTTTACAATGGGCTGTAATCCGTATGTCTTGCGACCAGGCAATTTCTGAGCCAGCACTAGTTCAGAATGGCGAAGATGTGCCAGTTCCCCTCCAAATAGTCCCTAGGGTGGGTAGCCTGCCCTAAGGTGGGTGGGTAGCTTGCCTACACAGAAAGGAGGGAGAGAGGCTTGCTCCCCTCTTTTGCCCTTTCTGCTCTTGTAGCCTGTGTGCCAAGCTACCTTGCCTCTGAGCTAGCAGAGTATGGACTGAAACCTGTACAAATTGTGAGCTAAATAAATTTCTAAGAATAGGAACAGTTCTAGTGAGAAACAGAATACTGGGTTAATTATATAAGTTCTTTTATTCATTTTATTTAGTTTTGCAGAACCAGGGATCAAACTCAGAACCTTGGGCTTGCCAGGCAGGTACTTTTGCTGCTGGGCTATCTCCCTGCCCCCTTGAAGTTCTACATTTTTTAAAAAAAAATATTATTTATTTGGTATAAGTTCTCACTGTGCAGCTCAGACTCATAGTGATTCTCCTGTCTCAACCTCCCAAGCACTAGGATTACAGGCATATACTACCACACCTGGTTTTGGTGGCCAGCACAGTGCACCCGGGGTTCCAGGACTGGCATGGCATGCAATACCAGAGACAGAACCTGGATCCTTGCACTTGCCAGGCAGTCATTTAGACCACCAAGCTATCTCCCCAGCTCCTCAAAGTTTTAATAGAAAGATAATTATCTTAAAGAATCCAAGTCTGAAAAACTCCCAATCAAGCCCTAGCAAAACACTTTATAGAGTAAAATAAACATTGTTTTAAAAAAGAAAATTTTAAAACCCTAGAGAGACAAATTGAAAAACTTAACAAAAAAAAACCCTGTAAAGAAAAAGGCAAATTCTAAACAACTAGAACTCTATATATAGATAGCCTCAACTACAAAGGGAAATAAGTACTTTTCAGAAATGAAGTACTCAGAACTTACATTTCAAGTATCCTTTTTTTTTTTTAAATTTGAATTTTATTTGCAGAACCGGGGACTGAAGTCAGGACCCTGCACTTGCCAGGCAGGTGCTTATTCTACTGAGCCATCTCCCCAGCCCATTCATTCATTCATTCATTCATGTTAGTGGCCGGCTCAGCCCGCCTTGGGGGCGGGACTGGCAAGGCATGTGGAGCTGGGGATCAAACTGCAGTTCCTGTGCTTGCCTAAGCTATCTCACTGGCCCTCAGGTACCCTTTCTTATGAAGACACCCAAGTTTGCATTCCCATCAAACTGGGGCTGAGGGTGAAGGTGAAGGTGTAGCTCAATGGCACAACACTGACGTGGCACAGTAAGGCTCTGGGATGGAAGTGCAGCAATGCAAAATACAAATCAACCAACCAAAATCAAAACATACACACAAACTTGGAAAGGGTTGGGGGTGCACTTCAGTGATAGTGCACCTGCTCAGCCCGCAGGGCCCTGGTCAACGCCAAGCACCAAAAATATACAGAACAACAACAACAACAAAAATCCCAAAACGCACCACCACCACCACTATAAGCACCACCACTATAAACTGGAGAGCAAATGAAGGACAGCAAAAGCTAGGTGTGCTGGCACACACCTGCAATCCCAACACTCTAGGAGGCTAAGGAAGGAGGATCTCAAATTGTAGCTCAGCCTGGCCAATTTATTGAGATCTGTTTCAAAATAAAAAAGAAAAAGGCTAGAAGTGGAGCTTAGTGCCCCATGTTCAATCTCCAGCAACATATGCAAGTATTAGAGACCATAAGAGGTGAAGGGCTCTAGGACAGAGATTTCCAGAGGAAAGACTCAAGAGGAAACTGTAAATGAGTTTACACCTGAGGGAGTCAGAAGAGAACACCTACAGATGATATAACAGTATCTAAATATAAAGTAGTGACCAAAGAAAAAACTAGGGGCCAGGGAGATGGCTAAGTAGAATAAGCGCTTCCCTGGCAAGTGCAAGGGCCTGAATTCAATCCCCTGTTCCACAAAAAAAAAAAAAAAAGAAAGAAAGAAAGAAAAGAAAAAAGAAACTAAAAATAACGAGGTGTGGTGATAAACCTAGCATATGGAAGGCTGAGGCATGACGATTGTTTAGTTTAAGGACAGCCTGGTCTACACAAGAATTCAAGACCAGCCTGAATTGCTTGGTGAAACCCTGTCTCAAAAAACAAAGAAAAAACTAAGAATGACTGATAAGGGTGAAGGGCTAAGACAGTGAGGTAAGCAAAAACAATGTATAAGAGCATTATATCAATAATTAGGTGATAAGTAACACTAATTTAAAAAATGATAAATCAATAGCTGGCAGAAAAAGTATTTGCTGAAAAAACAAACACACACCAGGGCTGGGGAGACTGGTCTTCCATCTGGGGAGAATAAGCGGTTCCCTGGCAAGTGCAAGGGTCTGAATTCAATCCCCAGTTCCACAAAAAATCAAACACACACCAAAGTAAGTTCAAAGCATGTTATTTCCTACTGAAAATGTATCCATGACTACATTCTCACAACTTCAAGGACTCTCCCCCTTGCCAAAGCTACTGTCTCTGCTTTACCTGGGTTACTTTAACAACATTCTAACTTGCTTCATTGTCCCTACCATACAGCCTTGTTTCAAACAGCAGCCTGACTGCCCTTTAAAGTGAGTTAGATGATGTTACTTTCTGCTTAATCCTCTTGATCTTCAGCAGGCACAGTGGCATTTGCCTATAATCCTAACACTTGGAAGGCTGAGGCAGGATTGCTCTGAGTTCATAGCCAGCCTGGGCTGCACATTAAGACTGTCTCCAAAACAAACAAACAAACAAACCAAAAACCACCAAAGCCAGCACAGTAAACCACCCACACCCTACCTTAGCCAGGGGCAGTGTTGCACACTTAAACCACAGCTACTTAGGTGGTGAAGGGAAGAAGATAGCAAGTTCAAGCCCAGACTAAGCAACTTAATGAGATCTTGTCTCAAAATAAAAAACTAAAAGGGCTGCGGCTACAGCTCAGAGTGCCCTGTGTTCAGACCCTAGTACTGCAAACACCCTGATCTTAGTATAAAAGCCAAAGAATGACACTGGCATCTAAGGACCTATGCAATCTGGTCTTTTGTTTTAATTATGGTAACCAATTGGCTTATTTGGTACAGTAAACTGAATCCAGGGCTTTTTCACTGAGCTATACTCCTAATCTTATAGTTCTTGAGGCATGGTCCTACTAAGCTACCCAGGCTGGACTTGCCACCTTTCGCCTCAGTCTCCCAGAGTGTAGCTCCCTGACCTCAGTCTCCTCCCATACTCCCTGGGTTTCACTCTATCCAGCACCCCCACCCCCCACAAAGCCTGAACTCATCAGGTAAAATAAACCTCAGGGCTGCTGCACCTGCTGTTGTCTCTTTGGAGTTCCACAGCTAGCTCCCTTCCATCTTCTGAGGCATGCAGTCTTCCAGTCCACCCTTTTCAGCCTGCAGCCCCTCCCCTATCTCCCTACCTCCTTTCTCTGCTTTATTTTCCTCCTCAGCACTTATTACCATCCAATATAGTAATACACTACAAGCCCCATGAAGAAAGGATTTTTCCTTTTGTTCACGTATTTTAATTGTGAAGGCAAAGAGATTTATGATGATAACTAGAAGACTATGTGGGATCAGCACTGATTTTGGGTTTAAAACAGGAGGGAGGTGAAGATTTTTGCAAGGTGATAGAAAGGGTCAGACAACACAGCTTCATTGTACGTTTGTCTTGATGGTAATGGGGAACCTGAGTTTCCACCTGATTACTTCTCTAACCAAGCCTGAGAGGCTTAAGTACACAAGGATAAGCAGCCCTTCAAAAATCACCTTTAGAAAAGCCGTGAGAGGTGGTGCCCACCTGCAATTCCAGAACTCAGGAGGTTGAGGAAGGAAGACTGCTTCAAATTTGAGGCCAGCTGGAATTACACAGTGAAACTCTGTCTCAAACAAAAACAAAACATAAAGTACCAGAAAGCTGGCATGCCGGCCAGGCAGGCAGTCAGTCCACCTTGGAGAAGTGAGCACCACTGTTAGCTGCAGTGCTGACAGTGGTGTTTCTGCAGCATTGCTGCTCAGCACAGGCTCAGAGGGCGAGAAGATCTCTCCAGAAATCTGTGGGTTTTATCCGAGAAGAGTTCTGCTGCAAATCATCAGTATAGAGGCTAAGCATTTTAAGAGTACCAGTGAGAGTATAAATTAGGTAAAACAAAAAAATTAAAACCTGTAACTTTAATCAGTTAGCGAAGAAGGGACTCTGGGGTGGGAGCTGAGATAAAGTAAGAGCATCAGCAACTAGAAGCCCATCTGAGGCAGAATAGTCATGGAAAAGATTGGAGAGGTAAGCTGAGGGGACAGGTGGTGGTAGGAAAGCTCACTCAAACAGTGACTCTGACAAAGGAGCCCTCTGCTCTGGAGAACAGCTAATATAGGTGTATGGCTGAGGAGAAGATGATCAGAAACAGGTCAGGCAGCTGATGATCAATTACATGATTATTAGCATCATTCATGTGAACAGCTAGGCTAGGCAAAATGGGAGAAAAATTTGGGCAGGACAGCTGCTAAAGAGCACTACACAGTACATTGAAAACCTGACCTTTTTGGGCTAAGGAGATAGCTCGGTGGACTAAGCACCTGCCTGGCAAGCGCAAGCACCTGGGTTTGATCCCTGGTACCACATGTTGTGTGGCTGCACTGGCCACGAAACTGGGCGTGATGGCGCACACCTGTGATCCCAGCACTGGAGGCTAAGACAGGAGGATCGCTACAAGTCCAAGCTGCATTGTGAAACCCTGTACCAAACAGACCAATGAATGAATAAGAACAAATAAAAACTAAAAACTTGACAGTTTTAAAATGATAAAATGGAACTGACCAAATAGCTCAGCGGATTAAAGCGCCTGCAAGCAGGCCCAGGGGCTGGAGTTCAATCCCTGGGCCAGCCCTGCCCCTGGGGCGTGCTGAGAGGGCAACTGAGACTAGGAGTGGTGGTGCCCCTATAATCCCAGCTCTTGGAGGCTATAAACAGACAGATCACTGAGTCTGATCTAGCAGTAAAACCCTGAACACCCTGTAGACCCTTCCCTAAAATTAAAAAAAAAAAAAAAAAAAAAGATTGCTGGTGACATGGCAGTCCCATGCAACACACACACAAAAATAAATATAATGATAAATGCCCCACCCTATACAAACACTACACTGACTGCAGAAGATCCAAATACTGTCTAAACAAGTGCCTCACTTAGTTTCCATCCCCACCACTGAAAAAAAATAAGAAGCCCAAGGTATCATTTTCTATCAAACACTTCCAGGTATTTTATGTCGCTGTGAAGAGACCAAGCAATCTAGACTGGCTTTTAACTCAGTACATAGCCCAGGCCAGACTCCAACTCATGATTCTCCTGCCTCTCAATCTAAGGTTGAGATCCCAAATGTTTGCCACCACACTCAGCCACTTTCCATCAATGTTTCATCTCACCAAATACAGTATACTTAAAGCATAGATTTAAAAAAAAAAAATCAAATTCACTTCCCATTTATGGAAAATCCCATGTTTTTTCATAAATAACAATATTCTTACAACTAATCGTAACTTGGTGCTAAGGTTCCAGAATTAAAATTTTTTTACCTGACTCTTAAGAAAACATACTTACATTTTAGAAACTTCTTAAGGTCTTTAATGTACCCTTCATAGGAATGTGGATCAGAAATACTAAATGTATATTCCAATGCAGTCACTGGTTTTGGGAAAACCATGAGTCCTAAAAACATAAAAGAAAAGGGAAGATAAACTATTATGAAATGCCCCTTTCTCCTTGTCCTTACTCTGATCCCTAAAATTTAGGTCTCAGTAAATAAAATGGAAAACTGTACTCACTGGTATGATAAAATTAACAACTTCCTACTTCTACCTATGAAAGTAAAGATATCTAAAATTCAATTCCAATGCTCAAAACCATCTTGGACAATACCAATTAGAAATAGCTACCATGTACACCAAGAGCCTCCGACCACCTCATGCAATCACACGCAGTGCCTCTGGACGATGACTGGACTGTGCAGCAGGATAGCGCACCTGCTGTCTGCCAGGAGGGGGCCTCGCTGGAATAGCGGGCTGCCGGGGCACAGCCCGGAGGGTGCTATCTCCCTTCCCGGCTCTGCTCCACTCCTGACCCTTTTCTGCTTCCCACCCGCCATAAGGTGAGCAGCTTTTTCTCTGCCATGCTGTTCTCCTCAGAGCCAGCCAACCATGGACTGAAACATGAGCCAAAATAAAACTCTCCTTGAAGTTCTGGGTATCAAGTGTTTTGTCCTAGCAAGGAGAAAAGTGACTAGGACACAAATATCCCCTAGTTTAACTGTAATTGCCATTCCATATTCAAAAATATGAGGGCTGGCCAGATAGCTCAGTGGACTAGAGTGCCTGCTTAGGCAGAGCACAGTGGCCGGGGCTCAATCCCCAGAACCATGAGCCCTGCCAGCCCCACTCTTGGGGCCTGCTGAGCTGCCGAAAGAGTCCAAGTGTGGTGGTGTGTGCCTGTAATCCAAGAACTTGAGAAGCTGAAAACAGGAGGATCACCACAGGTCCAATTTGTGTAGTGAGACCCTGTAGACCCTGCACTAAATACATTTTTAAAAAAAGTGATTTGCTTTGTACTTTCTATACTTATTTTCAACCAAGTAATACTTTTATTTTTTTTCTTTTTCTATTTTTTTTCCTCTATAGGGTCTCTCTATGTAGTGCAGGCTGCCCTCAAATTCATAGTGATCCTCCTTCTCAAACCTCTCAAAGTACTGGGATTATAGGTGCATGCCACCACACCTGGCTGGCTTTGCCAATTTGAAGTAAGAAACAGAGAAAAATTTTAGCAACGCAGTCTAAGCACTTTTGTCGGGCTGGTGAGATGGCTCAGTGGTCTAAAGCACCTACTTAGAACAAGCTTGAGCAAAGCAAAGCACAGGGACCGCAGTTCAATCCCCCAGAACCACATGCCAGCCAGCCCCGCCCCCTGGTGGGCTGAGCTGGCCACACACGCACGCACGCACACACACACCCCCATAAATAAATAAATAAATAAATAATTTATTTAAAAAAAGCACTTTTGTCATTTAAATTACAATTATATGGAAATATTCATAAGATAGCTTGCCTTTTTCAACTAAATCTCATAGCATATATTCTTTTAATAGCAAGTTTTTCTATCATTTTTATGTACTTCATTTGGAGTATAGCCATTAATAATTGCTTATCACTTATTGACACCTGTGTATACAAAAGATGTTAATCTTGAAAAAATTTGCAAACATTTATCTGTAAGAAATCAAGCTTTCCATTTTAATATTATAAACACCCCTCATATCTAAAACTGTACTATATAAGAATGTGCACACATATATTTATACTGTAAGTATTAAGTATAATATATGATACACTTGGAGTAGGGGGGAGAATCAAGTTACATCATGTACAGGTACAAATTCCCTATAATGAATATGATCAATACACGTATTTGAAATGTTCCAATAAATTCTTATTTAAAAACAAAGAAAAATAATGAATACATCTTATTGTACATATAATTCATGGAATTATAAAGTTTAGCATTTCTGAAACAGATGACACTAGGGCCAAAGATAATACTCACATGACTTAGCAAGAAAATAATTCTTTCATAGTCCAGATTGATTAAAAATCAGTAAGAGATGAAGGGCAAATTAACAGAGTTAGTCTGATACCGTACTTGGTCAAATAAACTAAGAGAAAAGGCTCAGGATGCTCAAACAATGAACTGTAAACAAAGGAAACCATTTGAATTGCTGTAAGATAACACGGTTCAGCCTGGCTGGTAATATAGCTAACAAGCGTCTCAGTGAGCAAGGCTCTAGATTAGGATTCCCCAACTTTTGGGCTGGGTGACTGTCTCTTTTAAAAACTGTTTCTAGGGGCTGGTGAGATGGCTCAGTGGTCTAAGGCACCTACTTAGAACAAGCTTAGCAAAGCACAGGGACCACGGTTTGGTCCCCCAGCACCACATGCCAGCCGGCCCTGCCCCCTGGTGGGCTGAGCTGGCCACACACACACACACACACACACACACACACACACACACACAAATAAATAAAAAAAATTTAAAAAAAAAAAAAAAAGTTTCTGTGTAGTATAGCTTTCTAAAAACTGCCCACATGGACCTAGAGGTGCAGTACAATAGCAGAACATTTGTCTAGCATAGAAGAAATGCTAGGTTTAATTTCTAGCATGACAAAGTTTTAAAAACTGTCAGCACCTTCAGAATAAGGGCTATGTTCAATAATCAAAATAGAGCTAGCATTCAAAAACTGTTCCAAAAGAATAAAATCAGGAGGACAAAATGTAACTTAAATAAATTCTCAATATTGACTTTTTTGGGGGGCTGGAGAGATGGCTCTGTGGTCTAAAGCACCTACTTAGAACAAGCTTAGCAAAGCACAGGGACCACGGTTTGGTCCCCCAGCACCACATGCCAGCCGGCCCTGCCCCCTGGTGGGCTGAGCTGGCCACACACACACACACACACACACACACACACAATAAATGTAAAAAATAAAAAAAAAATTAAAACAAATATTGATTTTTTCCCCCCCAGAACCGGGGACTGAACTCAAGACCCTGTACTTGCCAGGCAAGTGCTTATTCTACTGAGCCATCTCCCCAATCCCTCAATATTGATTTTTGCTTATTCCTGACAAAGGAGTCAAGATTTATCAAAATGACTATGAAGATCCCTATATCAGTATGTAAATGTTAAACACTAAAAATCAAATTATTCACCCTAAAATTAAACCCTAATGTTTAATTTTTTTATTTGATAATGCTAAAAAACAGATTATGAAGACAAACTATAATCCAGTTTTGTTAGGTGTTATGATAACTGCAACATAATTACCTGGACTAGGAATCTGGTCACGGTATTTGGGAACTTCATCATTCAGAGTCTGAAGCATAGCCCACATGGTGAATGAGAAGAGCGCAGCCAGGAACCCATAAAAAACTGCGTAGAAGAGTAAGATCAAACCTGCAAAAGAAATTAAAACTCATCAGATGGGGAAATACATATGTGTACACATGCTTGGCCAGGTTAAAAAACAAGCTTAAGCTTTGCCATGCACACAGCCAAGTATCCTCATATTCAGGACAGAAGAATCCACCCAAGCAAGGGGTATTTCAGCAGGCAGCACCCACTCATCCCATGAGCCCTCTTTTTTTTTCCTGGTACTTCCAAGTTGAAGTAGCTTCTGTCATTCCCACTCTGGTTTAAAGCCAGAGCCATAAAATTTCACCATGTAGTTGGGTGTTTCCCAAGATGATGCCCTTTAAACAGATAAAATGATTTTTAAATGGGACAACATCCCCCAATATAGCTGGCACATTTAAGTGACAAATGGAAAAGAATTTGTACATCAAATCTGTTTCACACAGTAATTATTTGTGTAAATTTAAGTTTTAAAAAGTGAATTAATGTAAAGAGTAACAATCAAAAAATGTGCAAGGAAGCCAAAAATCAAGATGATACTCAGTGAATAAAGTTTAGGAGACACTAGTCAACTGGAAGGGCTCATGCAAAAGCAAAACTGAGTAAGATGCTCTACTGCTAGACAAAAGCAGGATCTGGGAGATACACTTCAGCATCAAGGGCTTATTTCTTCTTTTATACTATAAAATGCTTAGATCTAGCCCAAGCCATTGATTCATTTTTGGAACACCTATCATCAATTTTTCAACATTCAAAGACAGTATCAGAAATTATCACAAGATTAAATTGCACAATATTTTATCGCCATTCATTTATATTGAAATGCTTAAAAACTGATCAAAGATATTAAACAAACTCCTAGGTAAAGTAAAACTGGAATTGTCAATACCACAATTGCAATCATATCAGCTTTATTTCCCAGTCTTTATAACTTACTGTTTTGTTTGTCTGAGCAGTTCTAAGTGGACCCTTAATACTGGTCCCCAAAGGAGTACTTCAGAGGGTTCTAGGATTTCTGTAATATATTCTTGGACATATTCATTTTTCTTCATGGTGAATGACTAATCAACTATCTTCTGATTTTCAACAACTCCATGACCTCAAAACAGATTATGTCTAACATTAGGTAACTTTTTTTTTCAACTACAAACCAGGAAACTATTCTGTACTCCCTTTTTCAAGAAGGGGAAATAAAGCAGTTTCATTTTAATTTAAATAGATCACACTCCTCTGAATTACCAGAAAGCCAAGATAGGGTGCAAGAAGACAGAAGAAAGAGAGCAGGACAGGATGTCACCTTCAGACAGCATCACTTCCCTACCACATACTGCAATCCTGCTGCAGAAAAAGAAAAGACCAATCTCAAAGAGGTAGTTCAGTTGCTAGAGGAAAATGAAATATCATAGCCTAAATACCATATTAATGAGAGAAAAAAAACCAAAAGACGATTCTTTCAGATATAGATGTTAGAAAATATGGATAAAACCCTCTATACAGAAGACCAGGATAGACAAATGCAGTGGTACTTAATCCATAAACCTAACTGGTCCACCATTTTGGAAAACATGGGCACATTTTAGTTTGTGTAGGAAAGATGGCTGTGGTCATGTTCATCCCCCAAGGTAGAGTTTGCAAACAAAAATAAAATTCTGCCAGAAATTTTTTGTTTGTGAACCAAACTGTTCAGAAACGAGTTCATGAACTGAAGTACCACTATATATAAACTAACTAGTGTGGCTGCATGATAGTAAAACGTCATTTACACTTGAACTATAATAGCTTATCAACTCACATACCACATATTAAACTTAAGATGTTCTTTTCATATCATTTTCAAAGTTTTGATTTTAAGTTTCCAAGAAAATATAAATGAAATTCATAAAAGTTACAAAACCAATATATAGCAGACATGAGCAAGCTATATCCAAGCCTAATCCCAGCTACTCAGGAGGCTGAGGCAGGAGAGGATAAATTCCAGGTCAGCCTGGGTATCTTGGCAAGATCTTGTCTCAAAATAAAAGCCATTTCTTAATCTGCTGTTACATATTTGTAGCCACTAGTTATAAGTAAACAAGTTGTTTTCAGCTTTGAAGGGAATTCCCCTACTTAAAAAATTTTGTTCGCCAAGATCCAAACCTAATACTTAAAAACTGAAACTAAGCTGGGTGGGGTGGCACCTGGCTGTAATCCCAGCTCTTGGGAAGTTGAGGCCAGCCTGGTCACCAGCACAAATTCACGGCTGGCCTGGACTATAACTGGGGCTCCTGTCTCAAAAACAAAACAAACCCCACAAAAGAAACTAGTATCAAATGAAAGATCATTCAAAAGGGTAGGGACACTTTTATCAATTTAACACTGTCCTCTTCCCTAGGGAGAAAAAACAAAAACAAAACCCAGAAAATAAAGTTATACATTGCTACTCTTGCTTGAGGGTAAATGTGCAGTGAAGTCAAATGCTGTCTAGTGATGGGCTTAACTGAGCAGAGGAGCTCTTACAGGGATACACTGGGTTAGAAACGGTTATGCTGTATCTGGCACTTGTTCTCTGTGTCATGCCTGCTTCAGCAGGAAACAATAAATAGTACCATGTCTATCATGTTATTAATATCCTCTACTTTATTAAAAAAATTTTTTTTAAATCTTTTATTTTCGTACAGGGTCTCACTATGCAGCTTGGACTCGTAGTGATCCTCTTGTTTCAGCCTTCTCAGAGCTGGGATTATAGGTGTGTGTCACTGTGACCAGTTTGGCACACCATGTGTTACTAGCGATTGAACTCTGGTCCTTCGGCTTGCCAGGCAGGTGCTTAGACGGCCAAGCTACCTCCCCAAGCCCCTTCCTAGTATAAATTTGTAAACAATGTTCCTAAATCATTACCCAACTAAAGAAACTAATGAGCTGGGCATGGCTCCACATACCTTTAATCCAAGCACCCTGGGGGGCTGAGGTAGGTAGGTTCCAAGTTGAGTCCAGCCTGGGAAACTTCGTGAGAGCCTATCTCAAAAATAAACTATTTTGGAGAAAGTGTTTCGGTATGTAGTACATGTTGGCCTCGAAATCACAACAATCCTCCTGCCTCTCAGCCTCCTGAGTGCTGTGATTACAGGTGTGCGCTATCATACCTGGCTGTCAGAAACATTTTTAAGCAGGGCTGGAGTGGCAGCTCAATGTCAAGGCCTTGGATTCAATCCCCAGTACAGAAAGAAAGAAAGAAAGAAAGAAAGAAAGAAAGAAAGAAAGAAAGAAAAGAAAAGAAAAGAAAAGAAAAGAAAAGAAAAGAAAAAAGAGAATATGGACTATCACTTTTAAGGGCAGGTTTGTGGGTTTTGTCTTCTTTTCTTTGTAGTGCTGGTTGTAGGCAAGTACTCTATCACTGACCATCTCTAGCTCAAAACATCAGTATTTTTTAAAGAGTCTGAGGTTAAACAATCATTGGTTATTCAAACACCATACAGTTTAAGGCTGTAATCTGCATTTTTCTACTGTCATACTGTCAACTCTTAACAGAAACATGACAACTGTTACTTCCTTATTTTTACTCTTCAGATCTAAGGACATACAAGATGCCTATAATCCCAACCATTTGGAGACTAAGGCAGGAGGATTCCAAGCTCAAGGCTAGCCAAGACAATTTAGCAAGACCCTGTCTTGATATTAAAAAAGTAAAAATTTAAGGATGATGAAGAAAAAAAGAGGAAAAAGATGAGGAAGAAGACAGCGGCAAAGAAGAAAGAAAAAGGGAGGGAAGAGGAAGAGGGAGTTGTCAAATGACAATTTCAGCTCTACCTGGGTACTGATTCTCTCCCCTCTTTATGTCTAATCTTGAAAAGCCCCAATAATTCTTTCAAATCCTTTCCCCTCTTTTTTTCCGGAACCAGGGATTGAACTCAGGCCCTATCTCCCCAGTCCCTCCTTTCTGTCTTATAGTCTGTCTTATTTCTGAAGACAGACACAGATAGGAAGCCCAGAGGGTGGGGACAGCTGCAGGACAGCAGGCTGTTTATATAAAGAAGCGTGCCAGAGGCAGGTATGGCTCAAATCTTGTCTGTCTGCTTTCTGGCTGTGTAGTGTTGACAAATATTCTAGTCTCCATTCTCACATAGAAACAGGAGTAACAGTAGTATCTATTAATTATTCACATTGTAGAAAGAAAAATCAAAGTCCAGAGATTCGACATTAAAAACAAAACCATGCAGTTCAGGCTGGCCTTGAGTTCACTTTGTAGCCCAGGCTGGTCTCAAACTCACAATGATCCTCCTGTCTCAGTCTCCCATGCACCACCATGCCTGGCTAAAAAAATTAAAAATTAAAAAAAATATTCAATCAAAGTTTGATGCTATCCAAAAACATCAAAGAGAAACAAATAGCTAGAGAATCCAAGAAAACAAAACAAAACTTGTAAGGGGAGGAGAAAAAGATCAAGCATAAATTAGAAATGATGTTTGAAATGCTACTGTAATTAAGCTTTACAAATTTAAGCTTTAAAGCTTAACCCAATCAATGTGAATTTTACTCTCAAAAAATGTCCTAACAAATGAGGTTTTATGAATTCATTTAATGATGTACAAATCTAGCCAAGATTTACCCTATGATATCCAGGAAAAGGAGAAGAGAGCACTGTTCTGTTGTTTCCATCCCACCTGGTGTGGCAGGAGCCAGACAAGCTCAAAGCTCAGTCCTCTGCAGAATGGCCCCACCACAAGCTGCGCCAGCCACAAGCTACCACCTTGGGAGGCTCCTGCGGCCCACTTGAGTAGTATTAGGAGCTGTACAAAGGCAACAGTACTCTAGTTAGGGTTCTAATAATTTTATTAATACAAGGAACTGTAACTGGTGAAATCACCACTACAATAAAGAACGTGTCCATCACACCTCCCAAAAGTTCCTCGTGCCCCTCGGTAAGCTACACACCAGGAGTCAACTGCCTATGATCATGGTAGTTTGTATTTTATACAATGTTAGAATTTCTAATTTTTTATATTTAATAACAATCTGGAATTAAAATCCCAACTATGTGGCAGGAATAACTTAAAAGTAGCCAAATTTAATATTTGACATTTTCAAAGTAGGTTAAAAAAATCCACCAAGTGCTGTTTATACAAAGATACCTAAAATTAAAACATGTAATGGTTAAAAATAAACAGGAAAATAAATGTGACATTACTGTAAGCAAACTAGAATTCAAGGCTAAAGTGTTAACAGCAAGGGAGTTATTAATGACAAAAGATTTTATATTACAAAAAGCAAAAAACACATCAAGATTCAACACATTCTGCTCCAAGCACACATATACACATAATCCTACAATCATGCCTAGAGATTTACCTATCTTGTCCAGAAACCCAAACATTGAGTATATATCAGAATGAACATTAAGTATTTTAAAAACAATTTATCTAATACACGTACAACTTTGTAGTCACCAGAAAACACACACACACACACACACACACACACACACACACACACATATACACAGGGCCTCATGAATGCTAAGCAAGCACTCTATTACTAAACAATGTCTCTAGTCAGAAATTGCACTCTTTACAAACTTAGAACACTATCCCCATATGCGAGCATGACAGAAAATTTACAAAAATAGTGTTAGGGGTATAGTTCATTAGTAGAATACCTACCTACCTAACATGTGGGTTCAATCCCTAGCACTCCCCCCAAAACCGTAAACAATAACCCCCCCAGTCAAATCCAAGCCAAGTGTGGTAAGTATACCATCCAGCATTTTAAAAAGCTGAAGGTAGAAGGATCCTAACTCTAAGTCCTGCATAGGCAATTTAGTGAAACTTTGGCCCCTAATACAGTATGTTTTGAAAGGATGATAGGGGTGCTGGGTGACAGCTCAGCAGACTAAGTGCCTGCCTGGTTAAGTGCAAGGACCCGGGTTCAATCCTTGGTACTGCATGCCATGCTGGAGCACTCCTGTAATCCCAGCACTAGGGAGGCTGAAACAGTAAGAACACTATGTGTCTGAGCTATGTAGTGAGACCCTGTACCAAATAAATAATGGTAAAGATTTTCTGCATTCTACCCCCTGTACCATGAAAAGAAAACACAGAAACAAGGCCACAATTTCTAAAATCAAAATACTTAGGTGTCGATACTACATAAAAATTTAGAGAATGGTCTTTAAGAGCAAGGTAGGGTGATACATGCCTATAGGCCTAGCACTCTGAGAGCTTGACGCATGAGGATTATAAACTCAAGCTCATCCTGGGCAACTTCCTGACTTAGGGAGACCCTGTATCAAAACATTAAAAAAACTGGGCTAGAGTTGTAGCTCATTAGAAAGGCCCTGGGTTCAATCCTTAGTACTGC